TTTTTTTTTGTCTTTCTGAGACAGGGTCCTGCTATGCGGCTCAGGCTGGCCTTGAGCTCACTTTGTAGCCCAGGCTGGTCTCGAACTCACAATGATCCTCCTGCCTTAGCCCCCTGAGTGCTGGGATTACAGGTGTGTGCCACCATGCCCAGCGAGACAAGGTTGTTTGTTTTTTTTTTGTTTTTTTTTTTTTTAATGAGACAAGGTTTTATCATGTGGTTCAGGATGATCTTGAACTCACTGATCCTGAAGCCCAAGGTGGCCTCAAACTCACTGAGATCCACCCACCTCAGCCGCCCAGGTGCTGGTATTATAGATGTGTGTCACCACACCTGGCCACAATCTCCAGAACAAAATATGCACATACACACTTAGGCAGGAATTCATTTGGATCCATTTTCTCTGCAAAATAGAGAACAGTACTCCCCAAACATTTACTGAGCACCTACTATGTGACAAGCCCATAGAATAGCAGCAAGAAGCAAGAGAGAGTTAGGGGCTGGGGATTTAGCTCAGCGGCACAGTGCCTGCCTGGCAAGCCTGAGGTCGTGAGTTCAATTCCTGGTACAGAATAAAAAAAAAAGCAAGATTGAGTGATAAGGGCTCTCATTTAATTTTATTTTCTGGTCAATGTCTCTTACTATGTTCCTCAGAATGGCCTTGAACTGGCTTCCAGCAATCATCCTGCCTTAGCCTCCCAAGTAGCTGGCACTACATACAGGTGTGAACTGTGCCCAGAGGAGAGATGCGCTTAAGTAACCTAGCCAGGCATCAGATGTTTCATAGAGACCTTGCAAGGAGATGAGGAACCTAACTGTGGGCCACCTAGGAAAAGAGCATTGCAGGCAGCACATGCAAAGGCCCTAAAGTGGGAAATCAATTCATGTACAGAACACTGCCCAGAGTAGGGCAAGGAAGGCCAAAGAAAATTCTCTAAGAACAAATACTGTATGTGTGATCTTAATCTCTCTGACTGTTCCATAGGCACAAGGCACAAGGTGTGGATATAGGAGCCACACCAGGCTGTGGTGTGGCTCAGAGGTAGAGAGCTTGCCTGGGAGGCACAAGGCCTCGAGTTCTGTGCCAGGGTGGGGCGGGGGAGGCCCCCCAAGGAGACATATTAGTTAGCAATTTCTGCACAACCACTTTTCCCTGAATGTAGCTGCTTCAAATAACATTACCTGGCCAGGGATATAGCTCAGCGGCACAAATGCCTGCCTGGCAAGCACAAGGTCTTGAGTTTGATTTCTGGTACAAAAAAAAAAAAGACAAATAACATTATCTGCTAGTTTCTGTCCCCAAGGAATAAGGAATGCAGTCAGGTGTGCTGGTGCAGGCCTGCAATCCCTGCAATCTGGGCAGCTGAGGCAGGAGGATTGCTAATTCAAGTCTAGCTTGGGCAATTTAGACAGACCTTGTCTCAACATAAAAAATAAAAATAAAAAGAGCTGCAATGGAGATAAAAGTGAAGGTCCTACTACTGAAGAAAAATAACCAAAAAAAGAGTGACATATTCAGGCATGGTGGCATATGCCTGTGATCCAGCACTTGGGAGGCTGAGGCAGGAGGATTCCAGCAACTGAGGCCAACCAAGGCTACATAGTGAGTTCAAGGCCAGCTTGAACTACAAAGCAAGAGTTTGTCTCAAAAAAAAAGCAGGGACAGAGGGTGTGAGGTGGAGAGAGGCTCAAGATAACCCTGTTTTAAACTGGGCGTAGTGGTGCATGCCTGTAATCCCAGCACTTGGGAGGCTGAGGCAGGAAGATTGTGCGAGTTTGAGACCAGCCTGGGCTACAAAATGAGCTCAAGGCCAGCCTGAGCTGCATAGCGAGACCCTGTCTCAAAAAAGACAAAAAAAAAAAAAAAAAAAAAAAAAAGTCAAGATACCCTGTTGAGGGGCTGGGGATTTAGTTCAGCAGCACAGCACCTGCCTGGCAAACAAGAGGTCGTGAGTTCGATTCCCAGTACTGGAAAAAAAAACCAAAAACCAAAAACCAGAAAAAAAAAAAAATACCCTGTTGCCAGCTGTGTAGATGGAGGAAGGGGCTGTGTGTTCTGGGCCTCAGGCCCCTCTAGGACCCTGGGATAGGCAGGACCCAAATTGTCCCTGGAGCCCCTGGAAGGACTCTAGTTCTGCCTAATCTTAATCCCAACCCCAACCCCAACCCTAACTCTAACCCTAGATATTAGCCCTGTGAGATCTATTTCAGACTTCTGACCTATACAGTGACTTAAGAATAAATGTGCACAGTTTATGCCTTTAAATTGATTATAGCTTGTTACTGCAGCCATAAGAAATAAATACAACCCTCAAGAGATAAGTATTTACATTTTGATGTCTCTCCCCAAGTTACAGGGAGGTCTCAGCATTTCAGACAGATGTGTCCACATCCTGCAGGTAGCAGTGGCGGTG